TGATGCTTGTCACCTTACGTCGTGTCGCCAGCATCCAGCCAACAACCAAAATATTCATGGCTTCCCTCACCCTGTCTGATCTGTGCAACAGTTTATGCTGGATCCTTCCTTTAACAGAATTGTTTGCTGGATCCTGGTTGCTGGGGGATTTTCTCTGTGTAATATACATTGTAACTAGTTACCTCTTTCCTGGTTTGAATATGTTTTGTCTGCTCATTCTGACTGTGGATCGTTATATTGCATTATCCCATCCTCTGCAATACCCTTCAATCATGACTGTGTTCAGATCAAAGATAATTGTGTTTAGCACATGGGCAGCACAGAGCATTATCTGCCTTTTGGGATTTGGGATTCCTGGGAGTCGTATTGTCTCACTGGATACCCGTTATCACATTTGCCTGGCAGGATTTGACTGGAGACAATATCTAAGTGTTACACTACTTGTTTTCACAATTCTATCAATACTCATCATGTATGCACACATCGCTGTGATAGCTCGCAATCAAGCCCGACGCATTGCTGCTGAAAACCAAGCAGGCAATAGTCAAGGTGGGTGGGGAATAAACACCAGATCAACCAGCACCGTCATCATCATAACAGGGACTTTAATCATCACCTGGATTCCATCAGTGATCAGGTTAGTGATCGATTCACAAGACCAATGGGAGCCTTATGACAGTTACTTGGCCATGATGTTCACAAATGTTCTGATGTTGTGCAATGGCTGGCTGAATGTTATGATTTACTACCTGAGGAATATCTTCGTCAGGCACTGCATGCTTTACTATCCGACTGGCATCGAAGTCTGCAACAAAGATTCTTGCATTAACTTTTCAACACAGTTGGAATGCATTACAGAATGCTTACAACTATTTGCCAGCTTAACGAGACTCTAGATTGTCAAAGAACACTGTAGAATCAGATGACCCTTTGCTACAGCCAATGCATCAGCTTCAAAAAGTTGGTGCAATGCATGCACGTAATATTTAATTTTTAAATGAACTCTGCAATTTTGTGGGTAAAAAAAACCAAACATTTTTCACAAGTTTCTCATTGAAACATACCTGTTCATTGTAAATAGCATAGTACCAGCCCCTTTTAAATCTATTGACGTATTGACCCAAAGTTTCTTAGCAAAACACCAGACCTACAAACTGTTCATATTTAAAGTTAGTGAGTGCATCATTTTTTTAGTGCTAATTTGAATTAGCCCCAATGCTCGTACATAAAATGTATGTACAATGTAACTTGATATCACCCAAGTGCTGCTTATAATTTGCAATAATTAAGAAAGATGTTCAATCATGAATTACGTAAATTGATAAACATGTGCATGTATATAAAGTGTGTAAATGATGAAAGAAAATTGAAAAGAAAAATGAAAAGTTGCTGAGGATAGCTCAGTTGGTACTTAGAGCACCGGAACGGTTATCCGGAGGTCGTGGTTCAAGGCCAGTACCGTGTAAGTAGTCACCCATGTACAGTAAGGATTAATGGCATTTCTAGAAACATTAGTAATTACGGAGATAAACTGAGGCCAAAAAAAAATTAAAAATTCTGCTTCCAGTTTCTCTACCTAGCCTATTCTGACAGCCCCTACCCTAATTTTTTTTATAGGAAAAAGGAGAAAAAAACTGCCTTTTACCCTCAACTACACGCAGACGCCTCAAAATGATTGTACACACACACAAAAATGCCCAAATAAAAAAAAAAATTCCCTACCTACCTACCTTAATTTCGTAATCCATGTAATCGGAAGCAGAACTATACTTTTTTGGCCTGATTTACATGTAATGTGAAAAACCCTACTCACAGTGAAAAAAGGACTGGTACTAAGTATCCAATCGCATTATTCAGTCTGAAATATTATCACCCAAACCAGAACAATCATTAAAGGAGGCGTGCAACTGGGAAGTAGTCCAAAAAAAGAGAGAAAAATCCAATCTTTATTAGACTTTTATACAGTGTTATTCAAGTTTTAATGGCATACAAGTGAAATTAAAAATGAGTATATCAGCTGATCTGAGGAAAAGTTGCATGCTTGTTAAAGGTACATGTAGTTAAAACTATCCGAGGGTACACTTTTTATAACATGTGCGTTAGCAACCGAATTCATATACACCCAAAAGATTGTGCATGTTCTCTCAAACTGTGTGGTAGTTGATTAAAATATGTGACGCTATTCAAATGAAGCCCTGAAGTGTTTATCAAGATTATTTTAATGGATGGCACTTTTATTGCATCCTCCTAATGGTTCAACAAGAGGAGATAGAGTAAACCTTTCATCTTTGCTGTTCTTGCTTTATGCCTGTTTAAGGTGGCTTAAAAAGTCACTGGCGCACTTTTTACATTGTGCATTAGCATTGGAATCCAGATACAAGACCCAACAGATTGAGCCTTAATGTGTGCGGTACTAGCAGCTAGTGAGCTAAAACTTTCACAAGTCAGCTACTAATATTCACCCTTCTAAAGATTTTAAACAATTTTGTTGCTTCATTATTTATAACGACCTTTAACCATCACCTGGATTCCTATAGTTATTTGCTTAGGGATGAATTCACAAAACAAATCGGAGACTTATGACAGTCACTTGGCCGCCATGTTCACACAAGCTCTGGTGTTGTCCAATGGATGGCTGAATGTTGTTATTTACTATCTGAGAAACAGGGATCTTCGCCAGGCACTACGAGGTCTCCTATCTGACTGGTACTGTATCATAGTCTCAACCAAAGATTTGTGCATTAGTTTCGAAGGAAACTTTCAAATATCAATACTGACACTTGAACACTCAGCTCTTAACAGTGCAATCGCTGGCTCTTTGTTATGATAAGCACTGAATACTCTGAAATGTTTGAGCATGTTGAGAAACAATTCACTACCCTGCGTGGGAAAGACTTAAACCCAAGATCTCATGCAGGTTTATGTAAAGCAGGCAACTTTGTTTAAAGCAGATTGTGATTTGCTTGAATTTGCGAAATGTCTCACCTTCTTCGACCGGTTGAAGCTTCCAAGCTGACTATAATTGTCCATCAGTAACACTGGCTCCAGTTCACCACCTCACCGCACATCAGGTGCAGTAACCTGTGTAGTTCTCTAGATCCAGGACAACCTGTGTCCGGCTTGTATTGGTACGTGATGTCCCTTTGATTTGGCTGAAGTGCATCGAGGACCAGCGGCAACTCAAAGCTCTGTAAAGATAACCAAACACAAAGAGAGGGCATAGATAATTTCATGGTTTTTATTCCTTCACGGCACTCAGACTGTTTGCAAAGGGGAGGCAGACGTGTTTAAGAAGGTATTCTCCTGTTCCACCCAACGAAGCAAATGAAGGTTCAAACGGACACCAAACTGTATGCACATCTTGCTGCATGTTGACATGGGATGGCTAATTTAGAAAGAAACAAATGAAAGAAATAGGGTGGAAGGATTCCGTCTAAAATACACTAATGCTTCTGGCATCTTGAACACATCTCCTGTCAACACACAGTCCTCAGCAACAACACATTATCAACAGCTCATGCTTAACATGGCAAAAGTAGGTTCTTAGCTTTTTGTTTTGAAATCAACGGTGCTCAGTTAGCAAAGATGCGACCCCAATGAAGGTGCTCAAGTTCATAAATTTGACATAATATAATCAATTATTTTTAAATTCCATTATATTTGATGCACAATGTAATAGCTAGTATGTTGTTATGTAAGTGACGCTAGTTATTGAAATGAAGCCCTGAAACTTTGATCAAGATTGGTTCAAGGAAAGACTCTCTTATGCCATTCACTGAATGGTTCAACAAGAGAAGTTAAAGTAAACAATTCATCTTCCTCGTTCTTGCATAGCGACTGATTCGACAGGCACATGCACATATACATACATGCATAATTAATGAAGTGCTACAGAAAACGTGAGTGTGCTGAGCAACCATTGGGAATACGAAAAAGAAAATCAAGTTCACAAACTGAAAGAAAGATGTTAGATCTGTCATGTGCAATATGCTTGGAGACACTGTTAATGTTAACGTGGACCATTGTCGGGAATAAGAAGGGAAATACATGTACATGACTTAATAACAACCCAATCAAACAACCCTGGATCTTTTCTTTCATCTCCCTAATGGTTCAACTTTCATTTCATCGCCCTAATGGTTCAATAATCAGAAATAGAGTAAACCTCTCATCTTCACTGTTCTTGCATTGTGACTGTATTGACAGGCACAAACATGTACTTATATTTGAATTAAGTGCTATTGAAAACGTGAGCGTGGATGATCATTGGCAATAAGAAAGGGGTATGTGTGACTTAATTACAACTCCATCCTATAACCCTGGATCTTTTCACTGAGGCATAAAGAAACATGGGTCATTTGATGGTGGTAAATCAAAAAGGAAAGAAAGATATTTGGACCGTCATGTGTATTTCTTTATCAAATCTGCTTGGAGACAAATTGCTTGGAGACAAAGTTGATACTGTACCTCACTCCTACGTGTCTGGCGCAGAAAGTGAATTGTGTTTGCATGAATAAAAGGCACAATTGACAACTGGTGTCTACACTGTGCGGAAACATTACACTTCATTCACGCAGGACCCACTCCTAAAAACAAAGATGCTTGAGTACTTTATGTAACCTGCTCAGAATGACAAGCAGCACAAGGGGCCTGAGACGGCAATTTGTGAACAGCTACATTAATAGCCAACAGATGTTCGGCAGATTCAGCACATACATGTAATATTTTTGTCAGCAGTTTTGCTACAGATTTTGATTGAAAAAAAAACTATGGCAGTTGGACAATCAGCAAACAGTGTGGCCAACATGTGCCATAGCCTGAGACTTTGCTGAATCCTGGAAGAGAATTTGTTCTACTTAAAGACGAGCGATGAGATCACCTTAAAACAAGTTGGTATTTAATGACAAATTCTACAGTTCACTAACACTTTTGTGTGTGTTTTTCGCACAAAAAATTGCACGCTTATCTTCAGAGCAAACCATCTCTTGCTTTTAGTCATCATGGAAACCACACAGTCATCTGATGAAGGGATAATTGTCAATTCAAACTCAACAGAAGACAATGTTGAGAAGGAACTCACATCAACAGCTGTGTTGACTTTGGTAAAGGTGTTGGCAGTACTTGCAATCTTTCTGTGCGTCTTACTGAATCCACTGATGCTTGTCACCTTACGTCGTGTCACCAGCATACAGCCAACAACCAAAATATTCATGGCTTCTCTCACCCTGTCTGATCTGTGCAACAGTTTATGCTGGATCCTTCTTTTAACAGAATTGTTTGCTGGATCATGGTTGCTGGGGGATTTTTTCTGTGTTGTATATGGTGTGACTTTTAACTTATTTAATGGACTGGGCATTTGTTCTCTTTTAATTCTGACTGTGGATCGTTATATTGCCATTTCACATGCTCTACAATACCCTTCAATCATGACTGTGTTCAGATCAAAGATAATTGTGTTTAGCACATGGGCTACAATGAGCATTTTCTGCATTTTGGTATTTGGGATTGATGGGAGTCGTGTTGTCTCACTGGATACCCCTTACTACCTTTGCCTAGGACGATATGACTGGAGACTTTATCTACCTTTTACACTTCTGGTTATTACAATTCTATCAATATTCATCCTGTATGCATGCATCGCCCGGATAGCTCGCAATCAAGCCAGACGCATTGCTGCTGAAAACCAAGCAGGCAATGGTCAAGGTGGGCAGAGAATAAACACCAGATCAACCACCACCATCATCATCATAACAGGGACTTTAATCATCACCTGGATTCCAACAGTCATCGGGATGCTGATACAACAAAACACACGGACGCTGTACCTGGCAGGCATGTTCACGGATGTTCTGCTGTTGTGCAATGGCTGGCTGAATGTTATCATTTACTACCTGAGGAATAAAGATCTTCGTCAGGCAATACGTTCTTTACTATCTGACTGGCATAGAAGTCTGCAACAAAGATTCTTGCATTAAGCAGTAAAAATATGCGTAAGACAAAACCATTTGGTTGGATGCTGAGAGCAAAAGAAAAAAAAACACATGTTATTCCCTTTGCGTCTTCTGCTAGTACCATAAAAACAAATTGCCAATGTTTTCTGAAAGAATAGAAGGAAAAATGGATACACGACATCTGCTTTGCATTTGAGTTTCAACAGAAACAATTGCACTCCATCAAGGAACTGCACTAAAAGCTGATCAGAGGCAAAGTTGCATGCCTGTTCAAGGTGGTTTAAAAAGTCTGCCCGCGGGCACACTTTTATGTGCATTAACAACGGATTCCAGATACAAGCCACAATGATTGTGGATAGATGTACATGTTTTCTCAAAGTGTATGGTAGCCAGTGAGCTATATTTTGTAAAAGTTCATCAGGTTATTTATTAAAATGCACCCTACTAAAGATATTGAGCAGTTTTGTTGCTTCAAATGGAAAAAAAAGGACAAAGAGCGAATGATCCTAGTACCATTAATAAATAGCCCAAGTGTCATCATTTTCAGCAAAATGACCGATTTTTATTTTAATTCCTTTATATTAACTTAGTATGCTTTCAATTATAATATGCGACACTTTTCGAATGAAGCTCTGAAGCTTTTATCACGATTATTTACATGTAAATGGATGACACTTTTATTTCATCGCCCTAAGGGTTCAACTTTTATTTCATCGTCCTAATGGTTCTGTTCTACTCGTACCTGATATTGAGCAACTTAAACTTTCAATTTTGAAGGGAAAAAACACTGCAGAAGGGATAGTAAACATCAGAAGCATCCTTGCAACAATTTACAAATCATGTGATACATATTTAATCCCTTTTCCATTTTGTTTTTAATATGGAGATGGAAATACATGGTTCTCAACTTTGAGTACATATAAAAAACTTTATAAGAGTAAGTGTAAACCAATGAAAGGAATTCTCCTGATAACTTTGAAAACTTTTGCTAAAAAAAGTCGAGGGAAAGTGCCCAGGAAACGCCTCAGATTGCACCACAGAGCATCTGGAATTCCCATGCCACAAGGGCTTCGTTCTCCACGCTCGCATTAGACCTCGACGAACAACTGCCCCTATGCTGTAATTTCACCAGAATTTTCAGAATATGTGGAACTATATTAAACAAGCTGATTTACCCGATCATAGATCGGGTAGGGCGTAGTGTTGGGGATGAAAATGTGGGGAGTTAAATGTAAATGGGGGATATAGTTGGGGAGACATGCAGTTATGGAAAGGCAATTTCTGTGGTGTGATCTGAGGCAATTTCTGACCACTAAAACCAATTTGAGCAAAAGATCATCTTTTAAAGTTTCGAGTTTGGAGTAATTGAATCAGCTATGGTACATGTATTCTGAGCAATAGAATCATTATTGTAGGCTACAATTTTTATTCGGGGAAGAAAAAGTGGGGGACCAAACAATGTCCCCCGCTTCAAATGGGGGGGGTTCCAGCTGTCCCCCGTCGATTTACGCACATGATAATTATGTACATAGATGCACAGATGAAAACCGAGGCACAAAGCATCAGTAATAATTTGCATGTACATGGAGGAAGCACTGTTGAATGTTTAAACAGCTTCCGCAAAATTCATTCATTGACTATAATTTGTTGCCATGACATGATGAACAATATCGCTCCAATACGAAATTATTAATCACAAAGACCGTACACAAAGGAGTTTACAAGGCTAGCTGGACTTGACTCACCCCCCCCCCTTTGTTTAAAATTCCTGGCTATGCCTGTGGAGTATTGTACAATATATGTATACTGTTCAGAATGACAGCAATTGGTGAACAGCCAAGTTAAAAGCCAACTGATGGTTAGATATACATCACCTAATGTTTATGTCGGCAATCTTGCTACATGTCTGTTTGAGGCAGAAATTGATGACAGTTGGACAATCAACAAACAAGTGTGACTAATAAAAAGTAATAACATGTACGGTAGCAAGAGATAATGGTGAATCCTTGAAGATGATGTATTTCTACAAAACATGCGGTGACATCACTCAAGCAAGAGTTGACATATATGACAAAATCTGCTGGAAACAAACTTTTTAGTGGCTTTTCATCATATTGAGTTTTTGAAAAGGAAAGAAGAACAAGACTTCCATTTTTGACCCAACGCCTTACTCATCATGGAAACTACATGGTCATCCACCGAAGGAATAACCGTCACTACCAACACAACAGGAGATGAGAATGAATTTACCTCAACAACATTGTTGATTTTCGTAAAAGTTTTGGCAGTACTTGCAATCTTTCTGTGTGTCTTACTGAATCCACTGATGCTTGTCACCTTACGCCGTGTCACCAGCATCCAGCCAACAACCAAAATATTCATGGCTTCTCTCACCCTGTCTGATCTGTGCAACAGTTTATGCTGGATCCTTCCTTTAACAGAATTGTTTGCTGGATCCTGGTTGCTGGGGGATTTTCTTTGTGTAATATACATTGTAACTAGTTACCTCTTTCCTGGTTTGATTATGTTTTGTCTGCTCATTCTGACTGTGGATCGTTATATTGCCATTTCCCATCCTCTGCGATACCCTTCAATCATGACTGAGTTCAGATCAAAAATAATTGTGTTTAGCACATGGGCAGCACAGAGCATTATCTGCCTTTTGGGATTTGGGATTCCTGGGAGTCGTATTGTCTCACTGGATACCCGTTATCACATTTGCCTGGCAGGATTTGACTGGAGACAATATCTAAGTTTTACACTACTTGTTTTCACAATTCTATCAATACTCATCATGTATGCACACATTGCTGTGATAGCTCGCAATCAAGCCCGACGCATTGCTGCTGAAAACCAAGCAGGCAATGGTCAAGGTGGGCAGAGAATAAACACCAGATCAACCACCACCATCATCATCATAACAGGGACTTTAATCATCACCTGGATTCCATCAGTGATCAGGTTAGTGATCGATTCACAAAACCAATGGGAGCCTTATGACAGTTACTTGGCCATGATGTTCACGAATGTTCTGCTGTTGTGCAATGGCTGGCTGAATGTTATCATTTACTACCTGAGGAATAGGGATCTTCGTCAGGCAGTGCGCACTTTAGTATCTGACTGGCATCAAAGTCTGCAACAAAGATTCTTGCATTAACTTTACAACACAGTTGGAATGCATTACAGAATGCTTACAACTATTTGCCAGCTCAACGAGACTCTAGATTGTCAAAGAACACTGTAGAATCAGATGACCCTTTGCTACAGCTGATGCATCAGCTGAATAAAATGGTGCCACCACGTAACCGTGAGCTGATACTGGCTTTATCCATGTTGTAATGTCTTTACGCACTGTTTCAATTGTGTCTTATTATAAACAATTTACAAGGAAGACCTTCGCTGCAGGGAGAGTACTATGATTTGCAGTACATAAGGGTGCATGCATGTACTATTTAAATTTTTAATACAAGTAACTCTGAAATTTGTGGGTCAAAAATGTGTCATATTTCACAAGTTCCTCATTTAAATACACCTGTTCATTGTAAAGACATGTACCATAGTACCAGCCCCTTCTATATCTATTGAAGTATTGACCCAAAGTTTCTTAGCAATTACACCAGTCCTATAAACTGTTTATATTTAAAGTTAGTGAGTGCATCATTATTCAAGTGCCCCTGAATTAGCTCTAAGTACTGTAAGGCGCATAACTTTGTATCACCCACTGCTTATAATTTGCAATATAATTAAGAAGGCTGTTCAATAATGGTTACGTAAATGCTACTTTTTCGATAAACTTGTACATATACAGGTATAATTGTAAATGATTAAATACAATCAAGATGACAACATCATTAAAAATGACGGTCGAGATCTGAAGATGAACAAGCGGGATAAGCAACGGACTTTAAGAATATTTGCAGGTGTAAGGAGTCTCTCATGCGCATTTCTAGGAACACTGGTAACGACGCGGAAATGTACTGATTTACATGTAATGTGAAGAACCTTGCTCGAAGTGAAAAAAGGACTGGTACTAAATATCCCATGGAATTCTTCAGTCTGAAATGGTATCATCCAAACGATAACAATCATTAAAGGTATAGTCCATCATTTGTAATTTGTGCATTTTGTTCGTTTGAAGCAACAAAAGAGTTCAAAATCTAATGAAGGATACTGAGCAACTAACCTGATGAAGTTTCAGCTAAGCTTCAGCTGTACATTCCGAGAAAAACAGCATTCTAAGATCTCAATTTCAAATCAAAAGTTGCTGAATCATGTTTTGAATTGTTTTGAATTGCAACCATACGCGACGTCGCGCACTGATCCGACGAATTATAACAACCGCGCGCGCGTGTGCGTCGTTCGAATACTTGTGTGCGCTTCGCTGAATAACAAAATGAACTACTAATTTAAATTTTCCTACGGTACTTCTTAAGAATCACCGTTGGAAATGCCTTCTTTCGTTGATTACTTCAAAATGACAGCTTCCCAGAAAGAATAATTTCACAGGGAGTTTAGTCCCCTTACTATCTTTCAACCAAGTTAGTTTTTCAACAATAATTACGCCAGTTACTTCTCGGATGGCTGCAAATGATGGACTCTACCTTTAAAGGAGGGGTGCGCAACTGGGAAGTAGTCAAAAAAGAGAGGAAAAAATCCAATCTTTACAATAAAATACAGTGTTATTCAATTTTTAATGGGATACGAGTTCAGTAAAAAATAAGTTAATGAGCTGATCTGAGGAAATGTTGCATGCTTGTTAAAGGTAGTTTAAAAGTATCCGAAGGTACACTTTTTATGTGCGTTAGCAACGTAATTCAGATACGACACCCAAAGATTGGGCATGTTTTATGTGTGGTAAATTGATTAAAACTATGCGACACTCTTCAAATGAAGCCCTGAAGTATTTATCAAGATAATTTAAATGGATGACACTTTTATTTATCGCCCTAATTGTTCAACAATCGGAGATGGAGTAAACCTTTCATCTTCACTGTTCTTACATTGTGACTGTATTGACATGACAAACATACAAGTACCTGAAGTAAGTGATATTGTAAACATCAGCTAGCGCCATCATTGGGAGTAAGAAAGGAGTAGGCCTTTGTGTGACTTAATAACAACTCCATCAAACAATTAACCCTGGACATTTTCATTGAGGCATACAAAAATGTGGGTCATTTGGTGGTGTAAATTAAAAAGGAAAGCTTTATGCACAAGCATTGGCCATAATTGTGAGAGTGAATGACATTTTCATCAAATAACCCAATGTAGCTCTTTTCAGTGCGGCAAAACTGAGTATGTCATTAATTTGATCGTGGTAAATCACAAACAAATGAAAGACAGTAGGATCGTTTATATGCACTTTCTTAATCAAATTTGCTTGGGAAAAAAATTGCTCTGAGACAAATTCTTTGGAGACAAATTTGATACATCCTGCTTGTCAGGCACGGAAAGTGAATTGTGTCTGCAAGAACATTTGTCACTTTGAACTCAACAGAAGACAACGTTGAGAAGGAACTCACATCAATATCATGGTTGATTTTGGTAAAGGTGTTGGCAGTACTTGCGATCTTTCTGTGTGTCTTCCTGGACGTGTGAGTGACCAAAAGAGGAGCCTTTTTACAAGACGGTCCTGGTCTTCTTAGTACAAACTGACGTCTCACTGTGCAATCTAAACCAAACAAACGCTCTGTCTGAAGATCTGGATACAACCCATCCATCCGGGGATGCTTTTAACTGATTTCCCAACATGCTTGCTTTGCTAATGGCTTTTTTTCCTAAGGGAAATGAATAATATTTTGGTCTGGGTAAGAACATTAAGGTTCTCATCTAAATGTACCGGTATCACGGATACAATGTGCACCTTAGTCAGCCATTTGTGAAGGAAGCGACAGAGGAAGCCTGGTTATATTTACACTATGATCAGTCAAGATCTATCTATCATATCATCAAACTTGTAGGCGTGCAAATCTGCATGGCCAATCCTAACCCATAAAACAGGAATCATAACTGCTGCAGGACAAAGCCGTTTGGGTGGATGCTGAGAGCAAAGGAAGCAACAAATGTTATTCTCTTTGTGTCTAGTAGCGTGTACCATATAGAAAAAAATGGCCCATGTATGTCTGGACAAATACAAATGTAGTTAGATACATGTGCTTCAGATTTGAGTTTTATCAGAACCTTGTACTCCATGTAGGAACTGCATTCAAAGCAGAACCAACTCCAAGAACCAAGTTTCAGTATTTTTGTAACCTGTGCAGAATGGCAAGCAGCACACGAGCCAAGAGACAGTCATTTGTTACCACAAACTTAAACGGTCGACTTCCATTACAAAGCATCATCGACATCATCGACAGTTTTGATACAGTGGTTCATCACAGTGATCTTGATGGCTCCTGGACCATGAGCCACTGGGGTGACAAAGCCAGAGATTTGGGAGACTTCTCAAAGCCAAAGATTGTCTTTTTACAAGTCAAGTGATGGCGTTAATGATTTCACAAGGAGTAAATACGACAAAAAAATATTTACACTGGAATAGTTTCAATAAACACCTCTGCTCATCATGGAAACTACATGGTCACCAGATGAAGGAATAATTGTCACCTCTAACTCAACAGCAGACAGTGTTGAGAGTGAACTAGAATCAAAAATATTGTTTATGTTGGTAGCGGTTTTGACAGTTTTTGCGATCTTTCTGTGCGTCTTACTGAATCCACTGATGCTTGTCACCTTACGTCGTGTCACCAGCATCCAGCCAACAACCAAAATATTCATGGCTTCTCTCACCCTGTCTGATCTGTCAAACAGTTTATGCTGGATCTTTGCATGACCAGAATTGTTTGCTGGATCTTGGTTGCTGGGGAATTTTCTCTGTGTGGTATACGGTGTGACTAGTTACCTCTTTGCCGGTTTAAGTATTTTTTCTCTTTTCGTTCTGACTGTGGATCGTTATATTGCCATTTCCAATCCTCTGAAATATCTTTCAATCATGACTGTGTTCAGATCAAAGATAATTGTGTTGAGCACATGGGCAGCAGTGAGCATATTATGCATTTTAATATTTGGGATTAATGGGAGTCGTATTGTCCCACTGGATACCCATTATTACCTTTGCCTAGGAATTTATGACTGGAGACATTCTCTAACTTTTGCACTACTTGTTATCACGATTCTGTCAATATTTATCCTGTATGCACACATCAGCCTGATAGCTCGCAATCAAGCCCGACGCATTGCTGCTGAAAACCAAGCAGGCAATGGTCAAGGTGGGCGGGGAATAAACACCAGATCAACCACCACCATCATCATCATAACAGGGACTTTAGTCATCACCTGGATTCCTACAGTCATCAGGTTGCTGATACCGCCTCCACAGAACACACGGACGCTGTACCTGGCAGGCATGTTCACAAATGTTCTGCTGTTGTGCAATGGCTGGCTGAATGTTATCATTTACTACCTGAGGAATAGGGATCTTCGTCAGGCAATGTGTGCTTTACTATCTGACTGGCATCAAAGTCTGCAACAAAGATTCTTGCATTAACTTTACAACACAATTGGAATTCATTACAGAATGCCTACCACTATTTGCCAGCTTAACGAGACCTTAGATTGTCAAAGAACACTGTAGAATCAGATGACCCTTTGCTACAGCCGATGCATCAGCTGAAAAAAATGGTGCCACCACATAACCATGAGCTGATACTGGCTTTATCCGTGTTGTAATGTCTTCATGCACTGTTTCAATTGTGTCTAATTACCCGGTGCATACACGTGTACATGCAAGACTTTTGCTGCACGGAGAGTACTATGTTTGACAGTACATATTACTATACCTCATACATATTCATGATCGAGAGCCGAACGTTCACTGGTCAATTCACCATCACGTGCCAGATGTTATTCTTGCTGTTTACCAAACGCGCGCGCGAGGATTCATCCACATTGTAAATACGCATGCGTAGTAGACTGTCGCATGGGTTACCCGTGCGACAGTCTACTACGCATGCGCTTTACAGAGCAATCGAGGAACTATTGCACGGGTGCAGTACGCACGCGCGAACATTGCCCAGGAGAGATGCATGATTGCACGGTTCGCGTAAATGTTAATTTCCAGAGCTCAATGATGCCGTACTGGAGAAAATTTATAGACCGTGT